TTCATGCTCTGTCTCTCCCTGTCCCAAAAATAAATAAACGTTGAATAAAGGAAGATGGTCTAAGTGCCAATCACACACTTACCACAAGTATATCAAGTAAAATTATAGGTTCTTCTTTCCCCTTCATAATTCTATGAATAAAAATGCCTGTCTTTTCATTGGAAAATCAGTCTGGTATTTTCTCAAGGTCAAACATCTCTGACAAATGTGTTTTCAATATCTTATTCAAATGTAAAATACTAACAGCTATTGTCTCCACTGGGTCTAAAATGATTTATAGATTCCTGTGACATAACTCTTTAAGCACAGGACCCCCCCAAAAATAATGATTTTTTTAGGTGTAAGATTTAAGAAAATCTCTTGTTCCTTTAATTAATGGTAAAGTAGTATTAAATTGTTGATTATTTAGTACTTTGTAAATTATTAGACTACAGATGAATGTAATAATTCAGGCCTGAGTGCACCTAGCACGGTTGGCCACCCTGTCTTCTGGGGCCAGCTAGAACGCCCACAGTGCCCAACGGAGCAGCTCCAGCTAGAGGCCAGCATGGAGAAAATCAAGGTCTTGCAGGTGGCTATCGAGCTTCAACAGCACAACATTCTGCATGCTCGCAAGGGTGCCTTGCTGGTAGGTGCTCCAGCTGGAAGGAAACCCTTTGGGAGTCCAGATCCTATGCTTTATTCTAAAGACTGTAGGGAAGAAGTTCACTGAGGAATACTTGTAAGTGCAAAGCAATGAATGACTGCCTCCAAGTCTCAAGAAAACACTTTTCTCCAGCCAAATGACTTTTAGATATTTCAATCCTTTCCTGTCACCTGATCCTAGAGCCAAAATTCTACTGTTTCTCCTCTGATAAGGAGACTAAATAATAATGGCCTGATTCTGTTGGTGAAGTGCTTTTATATTTAAGACCAAAAAAAGTTACTGATGTGGGAAACTAAGGCAAGTGAAAAAGTAAATTTCCTTACTGTCTACAGCCCATGGACACGTCCTTGAAACAGGCAGTGACAATCCTCTAGGAACTCAGTTGCGGGGATGATGACACTTTGCTAAGGGCGGAAGGCAACCTTAGCTTGACATAAGCCAGACCTCCAGGACCCAGTAAGTCTTCTTTAACATATAAAAATCCCTTTGGAAACTTCCTGATTCTCCAACCCACTTCCCTGCCCCAGATATATGTTAGCAATAATCCTCCAAATTTATGGCCCACTGAAATACATCTAAAGGGTCTCATGACTAATATTTTACTAGACAATAGTAAATAACCTTATCTTAACAATAGCTAGCCCCCTCAAGGTCCTGGAAACCGTGCTTCCAAAATTCCTTAGAGGCTTAACACTGTCCATAACCCCCTCCCAACTTGAAGGTATATAATCAGTCACCAGTCAACCCTGGGCAGCTCTTTCTGCCATGGGTCCTGTCCCTGTGCTTTAATAAAACCACCTTTTTGCCCCAAAGATGGCTCAAGAATTCTTCCTTGAGCTCCAATGTTTTCTACATCACCACCACCAAATATATACTAAAATATACCTCTTTCATAAATGAATTACTAGTGTTTCTATACTTGGAATATTATGTTTGCTTTATTTATTGAATGTTTACATTTTGAGAAAGAAAACATTTGTGTTTGTTAAAAAAGGGCATATTTGTAATTTGTTCCTAAGATCTTTATAGACCATAACAAAACCTGTTTTTTTTCCTCATGAATTTACAGCTTCTAAATGAAGACAAGCAACTCTAAAACAGGGGGAAGAACAGGCTTTATTAATCAGATGATGTCTTGATTTTTCTAAATGAGAAGATTGTTTTATTTGTAACACTAAACATGGGAGCTGTATTTTTAGCAAACTTGTTTGGAAAGATTCACATTGTGTTGTGTATTAGATTGCACCATCCTGTTTGTGTATGGTTCAAATTAGGTCTTTGTCTTAAGTTCCTCTACTTTATAGTTATGGTTATACTTAAAAACAAATAAAAATGCATTATTTCATGTCTTTAAAAATTTTTTAAATGTGATCTTCAGAACAGTGCAAATGATTAAAAACAAAATAATGTGAAAATACTACAACCTAAATGAATTTTTTTCCATTTTCTAATGTTTATTTATTTTTTAGAGAGAGAAAGACAGAGCATGAGCAGCGGAGGGGCAGAGAGAGAGGGAGACACAGAATCCGAAGCAGGCTCCAGGCTCTGAGGTGTCAGCACAAAGCCTGTTGTGGGGCTCAAACCCACAAATTGTGAGATCATGACCTGAGCTGAAGCTGGACACTTAACAGACTGAGCCACCCAGGTGCCCCTACTTTGATGATGTGCCTTTGATTTAATGTGGGATACTTTTAAAAGTATACTTTATTTGTGTTTGTAACAATTTTTGATGACTTAGAAATAAAATTCCTGCTTAATTCATAAAAATTAATTAAGGCTTGAAAAAATGCAGATATAGGCTACAGGGTTTTTTTCAAATCTCATATTCAAAAGCCTCTTTCATTTAACCAAACAATTCCTATTCCTATTCTCTGTGTAAAAGAAAGCAAGAATATTCCTGATGACAAATATATTTAAGACTCATCAATTCCATAAGGTGTCTTTGACAAAGAAAAGGAAGGGAAGGGGGGGTTGGACTTATTAAGTTATTTCATACCTATTCCCCTTATAACTAAGCTTTCAAAATGACTATGTGTGTATATATATATATATATATATATATATATATATATGTATATACATATATACACACACACACATACATATATATGGCTTTATCACGTGATCGCAATATTGCCTAACAAGTTATAAATACCTAAATATTTTAGGGACGTCTGGGTGGCTCAGTCAGTTAGGCATCTGACTTTGGGTCAGGTCATGATCTCGTGGTCCATGAGTTAGAGCCCCATGTCGGGAGGCTCTTCAGATTCTGTGTCTCCCTCTCTCTCTGCCTCTCCCCTACTCATGCTCTGTCTCTCTCTGTCTCTCAAAAATAAATAAATGTTAAAAAAATACTTAAATATTTTAAATGGCTTTAAATGTTCTTCCCATATTTTGAAGGTGCCCATAAATATCAAAGGGTTTTAAATCCCGTTTGTATCTTAGTTACAAAGGAATTTTTCAAGTTACCTTATGAGCTTCCTACCAAATGCAGTAACTATTTTTATACAGTTATTTTATATTTAATTCTAAAATGCTACATTTCTGATATTCTCCTGAGATGGGTCAGACAGGAGAACTAATTCTGGTGACAAGCACAGTTTTCTACTTGCTCTTACATCATTTATGGTAAAAGTGAAATGCATATGCACATGCTGGCTGAACCGATTACATAAGGACCCCAAACCTTTACTGAAAACAGGATTGTGAAGTTATTTTATCTGTCTTGTGTTTAAAACTTAATTAAAATATAACCTTGCTTCTTCTCCATAAAACTTTTATAAAGAAATGCAAAAGCTCAAATATCACCTTTTTTTTTTTTTCTGCTGATTCGGACAATTCTGATACGTAAAGACCAATATTTCATAAGCAAACATAGGTCCGAAATGTAGATGGGAGATACAGAGGACCCACTGGAAAACAAGGTTCTATTCCTGTCTTTCCACTTAGTAAGCAAATGACCCTGTGATTTAGTTTCCCTTGGCCTCAATTCCCTTTTCTAATAATTAGGAATAATTATATCAGGCTAAGAAGCATAACTCCATGGGTGAGAGAATGAGGATTTTTAGTTTAAAATAAGTCTACATGAAGAGATACCTGCGAGCCGCAAACTCCTATAAAATAATGAACAGTGGTGGTGCTATGTGTTCCTACCTGGTTTAAGAAAAACATACAGGGCTTTTTCCCCCCAACTTCAGTCTCAGTAAGAACCTAACAACTGAAATGAGGTGAACAAAAGCCACCCTCAGTCCCTTGGTGTTCCTTCCTTAATGTTTGCATAAGTGATCAAGGCATTCAAAGCCTAACAGCAGTGTTCCATAGTCGTACCCTGGCAGCATCTAATATGCACTAAGGTGTGGAGCCCTCTTAGGTTGAATGACTTAAACATATATTCAAAACTGCCTTCTGCCTCACTCCCTTCCTGGGTCCAATGTTCATCCTGAGTGAAAGATTTGGGTTCATTAAATCTTTTTAAAAGTGGTTCAATAGAGCTGCTCAGGTCTCAATAAATCCCAAACTGCGAAATATAAAAAACAAATCTCACCAATAAAAACATTCAAATATCACCAAACAAGAATAAAACTCAGTGTGAATGACTAATGCATTCAAATTCATTTCTTTCATGCCTTTAAGTGGCTAGGATTAGCATAAAGAGCCTTCTCAGAGTGTAGGCAACAATAAAAACTGCAATAACTCATACTTTGTAGTGACTTTCATTTTTGAATCTAGATATTCTTTAATTTTCATAATAGCCTTGGGAGGTAAATATCATTATCCTCATTTCATAGGAGATGAAATTGAGAGATTAGTAATTTGCCCATAGCTACACAGTAAGTGAACTATATGCTGATTTCAGTCCTAGTCATTGGCACTAGGATTACTGCATTACTAAAATTTATATAGCTAGATGGTTAGCAGTTGACAGAGAAAGCATTAAGGTGTCAGCCAAGTTAAAATCCAGAAGTCAAAAACATGAAAACAAACATAAAGGCATAAAGAAAAGAGTGGAAAAAAGAGTGACACTCATGAAAAATAGTAAAAAGCCCATATATATTGATTGTTTATCACGTTCTAGGCCTTGTTTGAAAATGCTTTATATGAATTATTTATGTAATCTTTATCATGCCCTAAAATTAATGGCCAAAATTGTGAAGCCATCCTTGATTTCATTTATTCTCCCACATTCTACATCTGACCTAACAAATCCTGCAGTCTTCATCTTCAAAATATGTCTAGAATCTGACCTCCTCCCACCAACTGCCACACCCTATCTGCAGGATAATATAGGATCATTGCAATAACTACTCTTTCTCTTCCTAATCAAGTCTGTTCTGTAACCATTTAGCCAGAATAATCAATCTCTTTAAACCATATGTGATAGTGTCACCATTATTCTCTCGAAACTTTCTAATGGTTCCTCACACCCCAGGCAGAATACAGGTCTCTACAAATTTCTAAAAGGCCCTCCTGACATGGCTTCATCCTTGCCACTTAACTGTGCCTCCTACTGACCCAGGTCCACTGCCATGGCCACCTGTTCTAGAACATTCCAGGTATCACTCACCCTTTTAAGGGGTTGTGTGCTTGCAGTTTCTTGTCTGAAAAACTCTCCTAGTCATTAGCATGATTTAGTGCTCAACTTGCCTCAAGTCTCTGTTCAAATATTATCATTGAGCACTTCTCCAACCGGTCTGTATAAAATCGCAGGCTTCCCCAAAACCACCCACCCTTAGCCACTTTCATTTTCCCTTGGAACCTATCAGCATATACACATATATATTGTTTGTCTGTTTGTTTTGGAGGGGACGGGAGTCTATCCCCCCATGACAATGAAGGCTTCCAAGATATAGTTTGCCTGTCGTGTACACAGCTGAGTATCTGTCACATATTAAGTGTTCAATAAAAATACGATGAACAAAAGAACGGAATCACAATTCAATGAGGTAAGTTCTATGTTACATCCCTTTTAGAGATGAAGAGGCAAAGGCGTACAGAGATAAAATAACTTAGTAAGTCACAAAGGTAGATCAGGTGCAGCTTGGAAAACAACAACAACAACAACAACTGTGTAATGTGGTGGTAGAGGGCACACTCCTAGCCACTGAACACACTGCTCTCTAGATAAATTCCAGTGACCTAAAAATTACCTATGCTACTACAATAGCAGTACTGTAGGAATGCCCTGCCCTCACTTATTTTCTACTTATTGTTAAAAGGCTGCTTTTTTAAAAGACATCATTAAACCTAATGCCCAGACCTTGGTTTCTAAACACAGATCCTATTAAGAAGAACTAGAATTCCTGGAGACATAACTGATAACAAGACTGGTAGGAAGAGGACAAAGCAACCTTCTTGTGCCAGAAGTAAGGAAATACTGGAAAACTGAGAAGTTGTATCAAAAGGATATACATACTTCATAACTATCATGTACAGGGCATCATTCTGTGTGCTCTCCCCAAATCAACTCTGCATATGACATACATTTTACTGCGTGTGAGGAAGCAACGTATCTCGGATGTGGTAGACACCACCACAATGTCTTTGCCTAGTGGAATTATAGAAAAGGAAACTGAGATCACAGTAGGTATAAAGCATTGAATCCACGAGTCTGCAGTGAAGTCACAGAAGGAAAGGGAAAAAGGAAGGTAGGAAGGAAAAGAGGGCCAGACAAAACAAGAGAGACAGGTAGTGTGTAGGGAAGGAATGACACGGGAACAATCAAAATAGAAATAATCACTTTGCCATAAGCTTTTAACCCTTCAGTTCAGTCAATGTTCTTCAATAGAATTAAAGTTGTCAAGGAAAGCTATTTTTACATATTCCTAAAATATCATCTCTCTGATTACTTATCAATGACAAAAGGGAAAAAGGTAGTAGCTTTCCAATGGAGAAGTCAGACACCACTGTTAACTACATAGACACGTGACATCAGCAATAATGGGGGAAACTAGTATCACAGGCGTCTTAATGCAATACCCTACGACAAATGTTCAACTTGAATCTACTCATGAGGAAATGACCAGACAAATGAGAGCTCAGAAACATTCTGCAAAGGACTAGCTTGGACCCCTCAAAAATGTCAATGCCATTAAAATATTATTTTTAAAGGCAGAGAAAGCCATCCCAATAACTAAGTGCAATGCATGATCTCTGTTTGCATCCCAGATTAGGTTAAAAGCTAGCTATAAATGACATGACTAGACAATTAGAGAACTTTGAATGCACGCTATATTTAGATAACAGTATCACATTTGTGTTACATTTCTTGCATGGCAAACTGTATTATTTGTATACGGGAGAATG